TTTATATTCTAGTTTGTTATTAAAAAATTATTTTATTTATAGCATAAAATCAAATAGTTTATTTTAGATGGAATTATTTTTGTTGAAACGGCTGTTTTGTAGAAAGTTTATTTCCACTGATTTTCGATGAGTCGAATATAAAATATAGAAAAAAGGGTATTTTTCCTGGATTTTTATTTATTTCTTCAGAAAAAAATAGAAAAAATAAATTACTAGAAAATGACTTTTAAATTGCCGAGTTTATTTATTATTGTAGCCGAGTGTGACATCACCTAATGATATTGGTGTGGAAAGTAACATGTATCTTAATCCACAGTGGAGGAAAAAGGTAATAAATTGTTCTTGCTGTGTCATCCACTGTCACTGTAACACTCTGGTTGATGTGTAGACATAGTATATTCACAATATTTTTTATTTTATTAACGTCGACACAGACAAGCAAAATTGTTAATATGAACATTTACATCATTTATGTCCTTGCAGTGGTTTATTACATCATGATTTATTTTAAGTGAAAATATACAGTATCTCTTTGATTTTGTTGGCGAGGATCAATGTAGAAATAAACGTATTCAACTTGTTCTCCTTTTGTCCACTTTTATGTGAACAACTATTGCAGCGATGGGAAGAATTGGTTGGCATAGCTACCCAAAGCAACACAAACTGGAAAAAGGTGGATATAAAAGACGGCATTGTGGTTGCAAGAATGCAGTTTGAAATAGACAAGTGTGCAGTAGTTAAAGTAAGATGGACTGTAAACAATGAAATGTTATTTTCAGACAACATCATTTCTAAGATTCATTAACAAATGTCTGCATACCGGTACACAGGACTTGAATGTAATCAGTTGAAATGTGTGAAGTACTGTAAAATGACTATTTTTCACTGGGTTTAAATTTCACTGATTTAGCATTTCAGGCATATACAGTGGGTCTTAAATTCACGGTTTTATCATTTAGATAATGTGTTCTATGCTAAATTTTATATATTCACTGGGTTTTAATTTAGCACATTTTCCAGTCAGCGAAAACCCAGTGAATAATTAATCCTTTTACAGTAAATCAAGGGATCATTTCAGTATCATAGAATGAGTATTAGAAGGGTACATATACAAAAATGTCTGACAGTAAAACAAAAAATATACATGCGTTCACGCATTCAGTTATTGTGTAAGGTATGATGTGAATTTTTTCTGATGGCGATGTGTCCTTCTATGATGCATCGTAAGCCTTAGGTTTTATTACCTTGCCCCTAACATCAAAGATGGAAGGGAAGGGTATATTAAGGGAAAAATTTCTGTCCGTCGTTGTCGTTGTTGTCATTGTCGTTAATAATTGTTATTGTGTGCACAATAACTTTACTAATTCTATTCCAAACTTTATCAAACCTGGTCATCTTATTCATCAGTATAAAGTCTTCCCTGAGTATGAACAACATATCATGCAAAAATTTAGAAAATCTGATAAAATATTTTGACTGTTTCTACTTGACTGATCACTGGTGATACACATTCAAAGGTCACTGATCTCGGTGGGAATATGCATTGTTGTCTATGTTCAATGAAGCAAATCATTTATCTTGTAATAATATCCTTGGTAATGTATCTTCCAAATCCCATGGGAATACTAGACTGGGTTTCAAAACCAACTCATGGAGAGAGTTTTTGCACAGTCTGATACACATTTGCAAACCTAAAATCTTTACAGAAAACAAGATATGTACTCCTATGAATTTGGTTGCCAAACTTTGATCAAGATCTGAAGCTAATAGAAAATCTGTTTAGTCTAAAGTTATCAAATCAAAAACAAAACATTAAAAAATACATAAAAAGCAAAACGTTGCATCCACATTTTAAAAAGAAAATTGTACTCAAAAATAGGCATTCTGTATTTGACAAACAGTTCATTCGACAAATGAAAATTCACAGGAATTTGTTTCAGCTATTAGAACAGAATAATAGAGCTTTTATAATAATATTTTAAAAACACACTTTAAAAAAACAAAGATTGCAATGTTAGAAGATGTGGATTCTCAGGAGGCAAAAGTACCGTTGACTTCTCTCTCACTTGACACCAACTAACTATTTAAGTTGATTTGCATTACAAAGAAAAAGCTTGCAACAGGATAGAAGGCGTTTTTTTTTACTTTTCAATTAATACAGTAATCGCACAATGAAGTTCATATTTGTCTCAGTGAATCATTAATTTTTGACAGACATCTGTACGAAATACTTGGGCAAAAGCCAGCTAAGATTTTCTGGTATCTTGCATGATTTATGAATCTATTCACCTCTAAATGCAGCACTTTTTTTATAATAAGAAATCTGAATTACTTTGAATAAAGTTGGAAATTATGTCCCTTAAAATAAATAAACAAATTAGGCACCAATGTTTTTGTAAGATATTTACATCTATCAAGGACATTTGGTAAACTGCTTTCCCACTGGTGTTTCAACCCATAAACTTGTTTGTATTCAAAATTAATTATGACAATGCATATTCATATTGAAACAAACTATGATAAAGGGAATAATATTATATAACAAAAAGCAAGGTCACCAGAGTTCAACTATGTTTAATTTTTCAGGTTGATGGAATTGTAGATGCTTCATCAGACATTGTTTACGAGTTTCTACAGAGGTCCACAGAGCCTGGAGGAAATGTAAGAAACATGACTACTAAAAAATAGTGACTATTAATACTTGATAAAATATCAAAACAGGGCTGTTGACAGACTTTGTGAGTCACGCAGAATTACTAAATGTTGTACCTGCAGTGCTAGAAACAGTCACTGGGCCAAGTTGTATTCATGCATGCACTGGGTGCCAAATTGAGGTCACTGGGGTCAATGCACTCTGAAATTATTTCTACAGCTTTACTGAGGACTTATTGTGACATCTTCCACTGTATGTGTGAATTACAAGATTCAAAAGCATTCGCAAATGTAATTCAAACCAACAATTAAATGGAAAGGTATATAATATAATAATAAATTATTCCCAACATTTTGGCAGAAAATCATGACATTGGGATATTTAGTATGAAATTTTCACAATACAGACCATTATAATTGTAATGCAGAATAATCTCAAGACTTCCTGGAAGTCAAAGTGATGTTTAATAGTGAAAATTTGTTCCTGTTAATGCCTCAATTCCAAGGCAATGCAGATAGATAGGAGTTGCAAATGTTAATTTTATCTGATTATATATTTTTTTTATTTTGTTAGTTTGATTTTCCATTTCGTAATGGGACTATACTAGATGAGTTGTGTCATTACCCTTTGGAAAGCATTGTCCAGTGTCGGTGTAATATTCCTCTGCCACATACTGCAGCCAGGCACTGCTGTGTGCTCAAGGCATGGCTTCCTAGTGAGTTCACAGCCACTGTTCTTGGCAATGAAGCGGCTGGTTTGATGATGATATCTGTCAAACATGAGAAAGCCAAGATTCCAAAGGTGAGCTGTTTACGTTTATTATATTGCTAACAGGTGGGTGGTCAACCTGATCAACATACTAAATAACTATTCTTTATTTCCTATGTGGATTAATATTTTGATTAATATTAAAACCATAAATTACAGTGTGCTGTGATGTGCTTAAGATTCAGAAAAATATGGACTGATCTGAATTGCGGGATCAGTAGTCGGCAGTGAACTGGTCACTGCAGTGCATTACTATATTCATTCAAAGAAAAATATTATCATGCTTTCTTTGAAGTTAGAGAAATATAAACTTGCTCATGTATTCTAAAAAAGTGTGCATTGTAATATAATGGAATGATCTACATTGTGAGCATGTCAATAGAACAGTATTGGGAAAAAAACAGTGTTTTGCAAAGTTGCAAGCCATGATCTTGCTACTTAACTGTCCAATAATTCTAAGACTCACTGTTCATGTGTTAATTGAATAGACATTGAGGTTTGAACTTCTTCTATGGAATTAGTATTATTAGGTTATTTCGAAAAAAAATGATTTTGATTTCATCTGACATAATGCATATGGTTTTGTTGCTTTCTTGCAAATTAAGCTTAGAACTTTACAAACACTGGTTTGTAGAGTTCTTCAGAGTAGAGTAGACTTTGTAGAGTTAATTTGCAAGAAAGCAATAAAACCATATGCATCATGGATTGTTATGACATATAACTTTCAAAATTGCTTTAATGTACATCTAAGATAGCAACCAAGAAAAATCTTGCGAAAAAAAAAGGAACAGTGGTAAATTATTAAATTTATCTATAAAAGAAATCCTAATCTTTCATTTGTCAATAAGATACTGAAACAATTAGTTATATATATATATATCCCCCGTTTTTGATTCATGTGCACAAAGCACACAATGGGAGTCTGCTGTTAGTATGTCTGTTTGTGTGTGTGTTCGTCTGTTCCACTGATATCTCAAGAACCATATTTTAGTTTTTGATGAAACTTGATGCATGGATAGATGCTCTGTACTAATGTGCATATTTTGGTTAAAATTTGTGCATATTAATTATCTAATTTGCATGATAATTAGCTAATTTTAGCTGTTTCATGACTGTTGACTGATATCTAAAGAATCATCCATTGGATTTTGATGAAACTTGGTACATAGATGTTGTGGACTAATGCACAGATTTGATTAGTTTTGGGTGAAAATCCATGCATATTAATTACCATATTTGCATAATGATTAGTAAATTTTTGGCTTTTCCACTGATATCTCAAGTGCTAATCATTACATTTCAATGAAACTTGATACATAGGTGTCATAGGACAATGTACTGACCTGACTGGTTGTAGGTTATTAATATTTTCATATTAATTACCTAATTTGCATTATGACTAGTCAATTTTCGGCTTTCCCATTGATATCTCAAGTACTAATCATTACATTTCAATGAAACTTGGTATATGGGTCATCTTGGACTATGCACAGACCTGATTATTTTTGAGTAAAAATCCCATGCATATTAATTACCGAATTTGCGTAACAATTTGTTGATTTCCAACTTATATATACAGACCTGAATAGCTTTAGAGTTGCATATTAATAATCTAATTAGCATAAATAGTCAATGTGATGATCTAGTTAGTTTTGGGTTAGTATACATCCTTATAAATTATCTAATTTGCATAATAATTTACTTTTTAGCACCAATTTTATCATCTCATTATAATGAAACTTGGTACATGTGCACGCTGGAACAATGCACATACCTAAATGTGTGCATAATAATTGGTTAATTTGCATAATATAATAATTGGGTCAACATAATTATTTTCATGTTGAAAAATATACATATTGAAAATCAGATTTAAATTGAATTTGTCACAGAGGTGCTCTGGAATAAATCAGACTGAAAACCAGACATAAAATCAAATGTATTTCAGCAAGTATTATAAATTTCTATATTAAATGTGGATCACATTGTTTTCATGTTGTGCATCTTGAGTACCAGACAAATATTAGTTGCCAATCTTCTTGTTTCTAAGGCTAATCTTAAATTTTGAATTAATTTTAATGAGTCTCCAATACTCTCAGCAAACAGGAGTTCTATCTAAGCTTTAATTCTTTGATTCTTTTTTGCTTTTAGAATGATCTCCTTTGTCAAGTTGACTTATCAGGTATCGTACTGCGACCGGCATCTCTTGATATTGAAGGCAATGAAAGAACACACATGACATTTGTTTTACAAATTAACATTCAAGGAGCATTGCATAACATAATGAAACAAGCATATAAATCAAAACTTTTAGTCTTTGGAATGAGATCTGCATATCAACATGTTTCTGATCAGATTCAGAATTTTGTGAAAATTTTGAATATTTGACAATTCTATAAATTTTAAAAGTCAGTGAATTTGAAGAACGTAATATATTTAGAGTACATGTAAAAGCAACAATTTTTTGGAATGTTGGTAGAAGTAGACCACTGTTGAAAGCTTCTCACAGGTCTTTTTTCTTTAAAAATAATTTTTTCTTTGTGTGATAAACTAGAAGCATTTTACTTTTTTTAGCTCAAACAGACCTTGATGGTTGTAAATAGAAATTTGTTCATGAGAAGTTGATCTGCCAAAAATGATAAATTCTAGCTACCAAAAACTATAAAAATGCTTCTTCTACTATGACACTATTTGGTCTACATGGCTGCTGATATTGATATGGCACATGTATCAGTTCTGTTAATTTGGTGACAAAATCTTTAATTCTCTATTTTGGCAAATATTTTTCTCATAGAGTTCTGAAACATAACTTTGGTCATGGTGAATGCACTAATTTGCATATCAAGGGTTGAACCATTCAATAGTTGAGGGGGTCAGCCACTATCCCCCACTGATATGTTTGTTGCAATACTGTTGCATAGCTTAATACTTGTACACAACTTTCTCGAAGTGCAGTAGTAAGGTCAAGTTGAAGAATGGAGAAGACCAAAGGATAGATATTGTTTTCATGTAATAATGGTTTCCTTGTTCTGTAAAATGAATACTTTGAAATGCATACATAGTTCACAATTTTTTCAAAAGATGACATTATAAATTTACATCATCCACTGTCATATTTTTTCATTCTGTTCTGTTCTGTAACTGCGAATATTAAAATATTTTTCCACCTCACACTATTCGTCTAGTCTGGAGAACATATGAATTCTTGTCAGTGCACTTTGCATGGTTGAACTGAAAGAGATTATTGATGGGAAATTGATTAGTGGTCCAGTACATGTTTATTGTGTATGCATTAAACAGTGTTTATGATATGAATCTCGCCCGTTCGTCACGTGACTTCGTGTGACGCAGTCTTTAGTTTGTAGCCATCTTGAATAGTTCAGTTTTTTAGTCCAGTGTTTTGATTTTCTCAGAGTTTAAATTTACTTGAATTTACTGCCACGACTATATTCCGAACACCATGGAGAGCAACACTATACGTCGCCGGGGTCGGAAACGCTGCGCAGCGGAGGTGCGGGAACAAGAACTACTTAACTATGTAGACCCAACTCCGTCCACATCAGCTGACGCAAGTACAGGATGTTTGCCTGCTACAACTTGGCAACTTAGAAGTCAAGGTCTCGTCGATCTCTCCAATCCTTCAAATTGGTCTGCCGCTGATTTGAGGGAGAAGATTGCGTGCTTGGGCATTCGGTTGCCCCCCAACACGTCCAGGAATGAACTTTTACGGACATTTGAGTTAAATAAAGACCGCATTGTTGAACCGATTCAATGCAATACTGCTAACAATACTGATGACGTCATATCTTCCAGCCGTACAACGACTCAGCGAGTAATGGCGGACATTCCTTCATTCATAGACTCTTCTGACCAGTTTCTTTCACAGGCTTTGTCCGGGGATCGACAAGTAACCGTTACGGATGACGAGGTTCGCCGCGATATAACTGAATTACGTCAAAATTTGCAAAGTTTGCGCGAGTCAGTCGATGCTATATGTCAGCTCCAAGAAACCAATATGGCGGCCTCCACCAGCCTTGGCAACAACGACGGCACAGGTCTTGCCAATTCTTCAATGAGCCTAGTAAGAGAGACATCTTCGACCAATATCGAGTCACCTAGTAGTCATTCAATTGAAAAGAATAGTTTGGTGTTTCTTTGAACGATCTGCCTAAAAATAGTGTCCATTTCAACAACACTTTCTCATGGCCTTTGGGAAATACAAAGCTGTAATGTGTGAAGCTTACTCTGGGAGACGGGAGGAGTTAGAACTCTACACTACAGATATCATTGCCATGGCCAACAGTTTTGGAGGTGGTCTTTTTTATGGTTACCATGTGGAGTTTGCCACCAGAGCAGCTACATGGTGGCAGTAGCAGAATATTAAGATTGATTGGTCAGTCAAGGCCTTATACAGATATTTTCATGAGGCTTACAGCTGGGCGTAAAGCAGCGGCATGTTCACTTTGCCAGAGTTCATTGCATTCACAACATTTTTGTCCACGTAAACACTCTATGCGTGACACTCGTGACAATCAAGATTTTTCAGCTCGTGGCTCTATGGATGTCAGAGGTAGAGTTCGTTTGTTTCAAGGGGGACGAGAAATTTGCAATAATTACAACTTTGAGAAGGATTGCTTCTGTTCTCAGTGTCCTTCATTGCATGTGTGTAGTTCATGCAGGGAAAACCATTCAGCAAGTAAATGTTCAAAGGCACAACCCACAAGCAAGCCCCAACAATCTAAGCAATGACTACCCACATTAACAGCTAGAGCACCAATTAAGGTGGATAAATT